ATGATTTCACAAACTGGGAGACTAAATAGAGGTTTTTTTACATCTTTCAGAAACTGTGTACACCATACATTGGAGAACACATAGAAGTCACACAACACTCTGTCAGTTATTTACTATTTATGCTAGCCCAATCCACCTTGAAAATATTAAAATCCCATTAATAATACTAGGTCCTAAAAGTCAAAGTAATAAAAAAAACTTTCCCAGGCTGATATAAAGCTGGCTTGCCTTGATAACTCACCTATTTATTTCTATGAAATTATTGATTTGAAGTAATATAGAGAATAGCTATTGCAATTTAAAAAAGCTAACAATCACATATTGGCACATAGTTATGATCATTTAAATGTTACTATTGAATTAATATCCTTATAATATTCAATTGATTGGTAATAAACTATCAGTAATTGTATGAAAATATGTATTTCTAATTGTCATTAATACTGAAATATTATATCTGTATTGGAAAGATGTTTGAACCTCATTATTCCAATTTAAATAGCTATCCTCTAATTTGATCATTGATTTCCTGATCAGGTATATTGGCAAATTGTGGCTCCTGTATGTAGGTGCTTTCAGTGTATTGCTGTGGCTTCAGTTACATTGGTACATGATGGTGTGTTATTAGTAACTTTGTGCTCCATTTATGCATTATGGAATATAGGCAATCATTTCATCACTTGTAATTACAGTATCCCTTTCACAGTTATGCCACATTAATGCGTTCTTAAATGACTTCGTTCTGATATGGACAGAACTCATTTTGCATGTAATTAGATTCGTGATTAGCTGCAAGTCAGAATGAATGACACCTGGCCCTATTAATGCTACCAACAGGCAATGGTTCCTTACAGTGTATTTGTACCTGAGAATACTACCTGGGTAATATAGGATTTTTTGTACTTTGAGTCTTTTTTTTCTTACTTCTATAAGTCTTTGGTTTCTTTTCCTCTAAAGTAATCTGATTCCTCTGATGCCCTTTAGAGATGTCCTAGACACTGAGCCTAATGCCATTTTCTGTGTCTACACCCAATAACTATGAAGCCATTCATATGTTTCTGTAAATTACATGAATGAGAATGTGAGAGGAGGCTTCATTTCTCTGGGTCAGGATAGGTCACTTTTTTTTTTGGAGCAATGATGATCTTGGGCTGCAGCCATGTCAACACATTCCTCTTCCCAGCACACCAATTAGATTCTGCCATAGCATCTTGCAACCTATCTGAAAGTTTTCTGTGTTGAAGGAGTAGAGGAGGAGCCACATGACACCCTTGTGCTCACATTCAGTCCTAGGAAGATGGAAGGTTGGGTGTAGGGTGTGCACATCAGATATACATAGGAACAGCTATAGAAGAGAGGGCATTTGGATACTGAAAAGCACTTAATCTTCACTAGTAGGTACTACTACTATATCTATAAGATTTATTTTGTATAGCAACATAGTATTGCATAATTATAATGCTAACTGTATGCATGAGTTTAATGAATTGTTGTGATGTTCATATAAACTACACCTCAGCAGGAATGTATATCTGCAAAGAGAGGTCATTTATTCATTTTGAGGTCATCGCAAAGGAAAAGGGGCACTCTTTGTGTCTGGAGGAAGAGAGGTTTAACCTCTGCCTAGGGAAAGACTTCTTTTCAGTGAGAGCTGTGAAAATGCGGACTAGACAACTAGATCTAGCTAGCCCAGTTGAATGTTTTAAGAAAAGCTGAATATTTTCCTAAGTGCACAGAATATAACTGGCTATTAACATTACTAGGTACTAACACCAAAGACTGTTGATCCCTTAGGGCAGTGATCTCCAAACTGCAGCCCGGGGGCCAGATGTGGCTCTTTGCTTGCCTTTATCTGGCCCTTGGGGCACTATTACACCAACTGACACCAATAATGGAACACCATCTCTCCCACTGACATTAGCGATGGCATTATTCTTCCCATTGATACCAACAATGAGACCTTCTTCCTCCCATTAAAACCAATAATGGGGCATTGTTTACTCCCACTGATGCCAGGGCATTTTTTATTCCCACTGGCCACAATCTTCCCCCCCCCCCCCCCCCAAAGGCTGAAGGACTGTAAACTGGCCCTTTGCTTAGAAATTTTGGAGACCCCTGCCTTAATGGAACAGGAAGGAATTTTCTTTCCCCTGTTGGGGTAAATTGGACTTTTTTCTTTCTTCCACTAGATTAACTGTTGGTATAAGGGAAAGTTTTTAATTAATTAATTAATAATTCATTTTTTTTCTATTGGTTAGATAGACTTTTTGATTTTTCAATCTGTGTAAGAAAAAACTGGGACAAAAGTGAACCCGCTGCCCATAGCCACCAAAAAAAGGTCTAATTGGTTGTTATATTCATTTTGCTCTATCATTTTCCAGACTCAGCATATCTCACTTGCTTTTTCAGGTGGATGAAAACTCACTTGAATCTGTGGGGTTGAGTTACAAAAACTGGAGAGTGCAAAATCTGGTGCAGCTCTGCACAGAAACCAATCAGCTTCCAGTTTTTTTTGGTCTTTTTTTTTTAAATTGAACAACCTGAGGTTAGAAGCAGATTGGCTATCATGCAGAGCAGCACCAGATTTTGCACTCTCCAATGTTAGTAAATCAACCCTTGTGTGTACTTGGTTACATCCAAAATAAAAAGCAGTTGGACTGCATTGCAGTAGCCAGTCTAAACCAACCATCCTGCAGAGCATTGGGTTGATTGTAGCTGGATGTCTTGATTGTTGCATTTATTTCTCTGCCTAATCTTTTGTTTCTATCTGTACAGGGCGAAATCCAAAAATGGTGGCAGGTCGTTGAGAGAAAAGTTAGACAAAATAGGATTAAACCTTCCAGCTGGAAGACGTAAAGCTGCTAATGTTACTTTACTCACATCTCTAGTGGAGGGTAAGTAACCGTAAAAGAATCTGTCATGACAAGTGTTATGTAGAGTAGGCTGAGGCAATGCACAAGTCACTTTTGTTTCCTAACTGAACATTGCTGAGTAATCTGCAGTGGAAACTCACCAGCTTTGGGTTCTCTTGTTTACATCTTACACACTTTTGCAGGCAGTTTATTAAAACAATATGAATCCAGCCCTCTATTCTCTCTGTTCTAGCAGATACTGCAGCCTCATTAACATTAACATCTAATGTTTTAATAATGTGTAATGTGTAGTGTTCATGTTTATATCTTTTTTTACTTATTAAGGATTCAAAATGCAATTGAAAATGAACTGTTCTAGTTGTTTGTTAAGTAAATAATTAGCGTAGTAGCTGGAACTTATATGGCACACACAGCTGAAAGAGTTATAAGGAGTGACCCACACTCCCCTCTTCTGCTGTTTACAGATCCTTACAGAGTTCAGTTAGAGACAGAGCGACTGAAAGGAAACAACAAATGCTCTGCTGTCTCTTTAGGCTACATGTACATGGTCCAGGGGCGGACTGACCATTTGGAAACTCGGGCACTGCCCGAGGGCCCTGGGTCATTAGGGGCCCCATAAGATGCCCCTGGTACCTTTTTCATAGGCTTTTTTGAGTTTGGGCAAGGACACAGGGGCCCCATGATCCCCTATTGCCCGGGGCCCCATGAGTTGTCAGTCCGCCCCTGACATGGTCATACAATTTTTACTGATCATTTGGGCAGCACAGTGGCTAAATGGTTGGCACTTCTGCCTGGCAGTACCAGGATACGTTGGTTTGCATCCCAACTACGGCATTAGCTGCCTGGAGTTTACATGTTCTCCCTGTGCCTGTGTGGGTTTCCTCTGGGTACTCCAATTTCCTCCCACACTCCAAAGACATGCTGTTAGGTTATTTGGATCCTAATATGTGTATGTATGAATGTAAGTTAGGGAACTTAGATTGTACACCCCTAGAGGGTTAGGGGCTGATGTGAATGTACAATATATATGTAAAGCGCTGCGTAAATTGACAGCACTACATAAGTACCTGAAATAAATAAACATAGGCAAGGGTTTTATTGGAACAAAAGTATCTGCATAAATGACCAGTAAAAAACCTAAAATTGTGTTTCCATGCTCTCTTACTGAATCTATGCATGCGTGCGTACATGCGTTTACACTCCAAGCAGATAAAATGCCTCTCCTCAGATGCAGATGTTTCCATTTTTGAATACGGATCTGCACACAGTGTACAAGCCTCACAATGCTTTCTAAAAACAGTTTTAGGGACATTTTTTGAAAAGTTTATTTGTAAAATAATTTTTTTAATAAAAAGATGTAAATGTTTAAATATGAAAAAAACAAACAAATAGAGGACAAGTGATTGTCTCTAAACTGTTCTAGCTCCCCTTCAAGATCTCCATTTAGCAGTAGCAACATTCTTCTAATGGCTGTTGTTTGGCTTCATTTAATGTTATCAAGAGATTTTTCTGAAAGCCATTGCAATGTGATAATAGTTAAATACCTAAGCCGAAAGTTGTTTCCACTCTAAACAATGTACTAAATAATTTCGGTCTGGGCTGCCATTGGAGGAGTGCCTGACCAGCACTTCCTGAATGACTTTGGGGATGCTTGACCTATGCCAGAGGGGAACATTATCCTGCACAGATCTGACAGCCTCTCACTGCTGCTTCTCATTTATGCATTTACCTTCCAGTCTAAAGGACACTTGTATACATTATAGCCAAATGCACCAGCTCTGTCTCCAACCTACACCGGTCAGTGTGAAAAGAAAGAGGTCCTTAACTCTAGAAGAAAAGGATGCATTAGCTTTTATTGTGTCCATCTGGTGCTGATTTGTGCCAGCTTTATAAACAGTTATCCCACCAATTAGAGGGTCACTAAACATACTACGAAAGTTGGGGTTTCTAAAGAAGTTTTAAAAACATTCATCCATAAATATTAGAAAGTTTTTGGAACTTGTAAGACAAGAATAGCTTTCGTTAAAGCTTTAAATATAGAAACCAGTTGTATTTTTCACAAACAGTGTTCTTTTTCTGAAGGTGAAGACATTTGGACTGAGTTATTACTTGAGTTGAGAATCTTCACTCAGAAAGTTGGGGTTTCTAAAGAGGTTTTAAAAACATCCATCCGTAAATATTAGAAAGTTTTTGGAACTTGTAAGACAAGAATAGCTTTCGTTACAGCTTTAAATATAGAAACCAGTTGTATTTTCCACCAACAGTGGACTTATTCTGAAGGTGAAGACATTTGGATTGAATTACTAAATGAGTTGAGAATCTTCACTCAAAAAGTTGGGGTTTCTAAAGAAGTTTTAAAAACATCCATCCGTAAATTTTAGAAAGTTTTTGAAACTTGTAAGACATGAATAGCTTTCATTAAAGCTTTAAATATAGAAACCAGTTATATTTTTCACCAACAGTGTTCTTTTTCTGAAGGTGAATATATTTGGACTGAGTTACTACTTGAGTTGAGAATCTTCACTCAAAAAGTTGGGGTTTCTAAAGAAGTTTTAAAAACATCCATCTGTAAATATTAGAAGGTTTTTGGAACTTCTAAGACAAGAATAGCTTTCATTAAAGCTTTAAATATAGAAATCAGTTGTATTTTTCACCAACAGTGTTCTTTTTCTGAAGGTGAAGACATTTGGACTGAGTTATTACTTGAGTTGAGAATCTTCACTCAAAAAGTTGGGGTTTTCTAAAGAGGTTTTAAAAACATCCATCCGTAAATATTAGAAAGTTTTTGGAACTTGTAAGGCAAAGAATAGCTTTCGTTACAGCTTTAAATATCGAAACCAGTTGTATTTTCCACCAGCTGTGTTCTTTTTCTGAAGGTGACGACATCTGGACTGATTTACTAAATGAGTTGAGAATCTTCACTCAAAAAGTTGGGGTTTCTAAAGAATTTTTAAAAACATCCATCTGTAAATATTAGAAAGTTTTTTAAACTTGTAAGACATGAATAGCTTTCATTAAAGCTTTAAATATAGAAACCAGTTATATTTTCCACCAACAGTGTACTTATTCTGAAGGTGAAGACATTTGGACTGAATTACTAAATGAGTTGAAAATCTTCACTCAAAAAGTTTGAGTTTCTAAAGAGGTTTTAAAAACATCCATCTGTAAATATTAGAAAGTTTTTGAAACTTGTAAGACATGAATAGCTTTCATTAAAGCTTTAAATATAGAAACCAGTTATATTTTTCACCAACAGTGTTCTTTTTCTGAAGGTGAATATATTTGGACTGAGTTACTACTTGAGTTGAGAATCTTCACTCAAAAAGTTGGGGTTTCTAAAGAAGTTTTAAAAACATCCATCCGTAAATATTAGAAGGTTTTTGGAACTTCTAAGACAAGAATAGCTTTCATTAAAGCTTTAAATATAGAAATCAGTTGTATTTTTCACCAACAGTGTTCTTTTTTCTGAAGGTGAAGACATTTGGACTGAGTTATTACTTGAGTTGAGAATCTTCACTCAAAAAGGGGTTTCTAAAGAGGTTTTAAAAACATCCATCCGTAAATATTAGAAAGTTTTTGGAACTTGTAAGGCAAAGAATAGCTTTCGTTACAGCTTTAAATATCGAAACCAGTTGTATTTTCCACCAGCTGTGTTCTTTTTCTGAAGGTGACGACATCTGGACTGATTTACTAAATGAGTTGAGAATCTTCACTCAAAAAAAAGTTGGGGTTTCTAAAGAATTTTTAAAAACATCCATCTGTAAATATTAGAAAGTTTTTTAAACTTGTAAGACATGAATAGCTTTCATTAAAGCTTTAAATATAGAAACCAGTTATATTTTCCACCAACAGTGTACTTATTCTGAAGGTGAAGACATTTGGACTGAATTACTAAATGAGTTGAAAATCTTCACTCAAAAAGTTTGAGTTTCTAAAAGAGGTTTTAAAAACATCCATCTGTAAATATTAGAAAGTTTTTGAAACTTGTAAGACATGAATAGCTTTCATTAAAGCTTTAAATATAGAAACCAGTTGTATTTTCCACCAGCAGTGTTTTTTCTGAAAGTGAAGACATTTGGACTGATTTACTAAATGAGTTGAGAATCTTCACTCAAAAACTGTGTGAATAGTTATTACAATGATCCAATCATGTGAAAAGCATCTGCACATGATTGGGTATTCAATGTCAACAGCAATGTTCTTTTCATATGATTGGATAACAGAAGTATATTCTCACTTTGTTTTTGAGTAGAGATCCTCAACTCCCTTAAATCAGTTTCCTCATTCATTTATCAAACTCAATGGCCACTTATTAATATCATTATGACTGGTGTTTTGTATAGCACCAGCAGTTTACACAGTTCTTCACATATTGTACATTCACATCAGTCCCTGCCCTCAAGGAGCTTACAATCCAAAGTACACTTAGCAAACAAATTGATATTATGTTCAATTTAAATACCAGCAGATTGAAAAAAAAAAATCTTTGACATGACTGATGTAAATGCAGCTTCTTGTCCAGTTTTCCACAATTAACTCATATATATATATAAATAAAAAAGTTAATGTGTTAAAACGCATATATACATATAAATATACTTGGCTGTAAGAATTTTAATGGTCCTATAGGGAAGGTTTTCCTGGAACAACAGTTCCTGTGTAATAATCAGTTAAATGCCTTTAGATATATTATAAAAAGCATAAAATTGTACTTCTATATCCTGCTGCTTTTTTTTTTCTCCAATACCAGAATGCACTTTTTTCATCTATGCATACATGTATATGTGTGTTTACACACATTGTAAGTGTATAAAATGCATGTCCTCAGATTTTCAGTTTCTGGCTGCATGAGGCCTTAAAGTCAAGGAACAAATATAGGGCTACAAAGCAAAGTTATATAACAACACATTTACATAATAGAATGCACAGCAACATTGCATCAGTCAGGTTCCAAGCCCATGCTTAAAGTGTATAATTACAGTATTTGTACCTGTTTTCTCTGGTATTCTCCCCATCGCCATATTCTACTTCAGCGTTTTGTGGAACAATCGTATAGTTTATTTCCAGCTGCCCATACTGTAATGGTCCTGATTAGATGTGTGTACTAGTTTTGTGTGCTTTTCTCCCCGGTACAATATCCTAATTCTTGCTTCTAAAGTCATTTTACTGTTTACAACACAGTTTTATGCTGACTTATATATATATATTATAAAAGTGTACTGTTATGGCCTAGCCATATATTGCGTGTGTGTATGTTTGTGTGTGTACTAGTTTTCTCTACTATTCTCTCCTATCACCATATCCTAATTTCTACACTTACTTGTAATACTGTATTGACTGTTTATGGCATGATTGAATGCTGGATTATATATTGTATTAAAAGGTGCACTGTTATGGTACTGCCCACTTAGTGTATGTGTGTGTGTGTGTGTGTGTGTGTGTGTGCTAGTTTTCTTTACTATTCTTTCCTATCACCATATCCTAATTTTTACACTTACTTGTAATATTGTATAGACTGCTCATGGCATGAATGTATGCTGCATTATATATTACATTATATTGTAAGGTGCCCTGTTATGGTACTGCCCACTTAGTGTGTGTGTGTGTACTAGTTTTCTCTGCTACTCTCTCTCATCACCATATCCTGATTTCTACACTTACTTGTAATACTGTATAGACCAGGGGTGGACTGACCATTTGGAAACTTGGGCACTGTCCGAGGGCCCGGGGTCAGTAGGGGGCCCCATGAAATGCCCCTGGTACCTTTTTCATAGGCTTTTTTGAGTTTGGGCAAGAACACTGGGGCCCCCATGATCCCCTATTGCCCGGGGGCCCATGAGTTGTCAGTCCGCCCCTGGTATAGATTGTTTATAGCCTGATCGTATGCTGGATTATATAGTATACTATAAAGTGCACTGTTATGGTCCTGCCCACTTAGTGTGTGTGTGTGTGTACTAGTTTTCTCTACTATTCTCTCTCAAGACCATATCCTAATTCCTGCACATACATGGAATACTGATTGTTTATGACACGACTGTATGCCTCATTATATATTGTATTTCCATGTACAGTGTTATGGCCCTGCCTCTATATAATTTGTGTGTGTATACTAGTTTCCTCCACTATTTTTTCCCATCGCCACTTACTGTGTGTGTGTGTGCGTGTGCGTACTAGTTTTCTCTACTATTCTCTCCCAAGACCATATCCTAATTCCTGCATATACATGGAATACTGTATAGACTGTTTATGACATGAATGTATGCCTCATTATATATTGTATTTCCATGTACAGTGCTATGGCCATGCCTCTATATAATTTGTGTGTGTATACTAGTTTTCTCTACTATTTTTCCTATCGCCATATCCTAATTCTTACACTTACATGTATTACTGTACAGACTGTTTATGGCATAATTGTATACTGCATCGTATATTTGTATTTGCAGGTGTACTGCTTTGTCCCTGCTATATTGTGTGAGTGTGTGTTTGTATACTAGATTTCTCTACTATTTTCTCCCATCATCATATCCTAGTTCTTACACTTACATGCAATACTGTACAGACTCTGTTTATGTCATGATTGTATGCTGCATTGTATATTTGTATTTGTGCAGGTGTATTGCTTTGTCCCTGCCTATATACTGTGAGTGTGTGTTTGTGTACTAGTTTTATCTCCTATTATCTCTCATTTATTATCCTGATTCTTACACTTACATATAATACTATACATACTACTGAACATACAGTTTAAAGCATGATTAGAAAATGTATTTCCATGTGCACTGTACTGCAATAGTCCTTCTTTAATGGTGTGAGTATGTACCAGTATTCTCCTCTATTCTCTCCTATCTCCTCACTCTAATTCTCTCACTTAGCAATCCTAGTGTATATGGCACAATGATATATTGCATTATAATGCATATTGTTATATACTGTGATATGCATTACATATACTGTTTGGGCCCCTGCTTATATAGTGTGTGTGTGTTTGTGTGTAGTTTTCTCTAGTATTCTCTTCCATAACTATGACCTAATTACATGTATTTCTGTTTGTGCTGTAATAGCATACTGTTTTCTGTATTTTTGCATGTGCTGTCATAGCATACTGTTTTCTGTATTTCTGTATGTGCTGTCATAGCATACTGTTTATGGCACAATTGTATTATGCAGTATATTTCCATCTGCCATGTATTGCTATGGTCCTTCTAATACAGTGTATATGTGAATGTACCAGTTTTCTTCTCTATTCTCTCCCATCACCTAATTATAATATTCTCACTTCCACTAATCTCACTGTTTATGGCACAATGGTGTGTTCCATTGTTACAGCATATTTCCAGGTGCCTGGTGCTGCTTATATGGTGTGTGTGTGATGTGAACGGCGTGTCTGGTGTCCTGAAGTGAGGAGCCAGTGTCTGATGATCTGCTCCATCTTCCTGGAAACAAGCTTGGCCGCCTTGTGCTTTGAAGCGCTAATTGGCGCATGCGTTCTTCCGGAGTGCAGCTAATGGCAGGAAACCCTGCAGTAAAATCCAACTGCTTCAGGAAATTAAAACCAAAAGATTTGAAAATCAACAAAACAGACAGACTGCGTGCACTGACCCCAAATCTCTCTTAGCTAATCGTTCAGGATATATAAAAAAAGATCATTCATTGTAAACGGTGGAGTTAAAGAATGTCAGTTGTGAGCAGCTTTGACTTCCTTGTACTGGGCTGCTTTTGGAATCGAGACTTTTAATGTACACATTTGTTTCATTAAAACATTACAGCAGAGTCGGTCAGCAGAGGGTAGGCCACATGGCAAAGTCTTCCTTATGTCTTCCTGGGGGCCAGCCGCTATTACATGATAACATCAATTCAACTGTAACATGTAAATATTTCACAAGTTTCCATGACCTGTCCTGGAGATTTCACTTGATTATCTATATAGATGGTATTATTAGGTAAGGACAGTATAATAAAGTTACCCCGATTGATGAGATTATAGAAAAGATTAGTTCCATAGATGAAATGATTGGGTAAGATTGATGATGTTGGCTAAAATGAATTACACTGATATCATTATTAGCTTTAACATAAGGATAAAGATCTTTATTATAGCCATATGACTCCAATTTTCAAACCTCACTGCACCCATCTAAACACAACTGTCACTTTTTTAAATAAATATCCTTATCCTGGGTTTTTCCCTGATATAATTATTAGCTTGCTCAGTTCCCTAAGCTTTACATTAGGATCTTTAGATCTTTATTTTAGCCATGTGATTCTAATTCCAAATCTTATTGCATTCTTCAGAACATAGCTGTCACTTTGTTTTTAAATAAATATCCCTATCCTGGTGTGTTAGGCTGACCATACAATATACAATCTGATTGTATCTACTCTCAGCTATGTAGTACAAAGGCCTGCCTGATTTGATATTAATTGAATGGATTGTATATTACATAGTGGTTGATTTAGTAAAGGCAAATAGACTGTGCACTGTGCAAGTGCAGTTACTTCACAGCAAATGAGGGGAAGCTCTGCTGACTTCCATCATCCAATCATGTGCAAGCAAAAGTGTTTTTTTTTTTTACTTTCCTTACATACAATTGGGTATTCTTTGTGAAGCTTTCCTCATGTATTAAGCTCTGGAACAACTGCATTTGCAAAGTGCAACTACACTTGCACAGTGCACAGTCTATTTGCCTTTAGTAAATCAACCCAGGGGCGGACTGACCATTTGGAAACTTGGGCACTGCCCGAGGGCCCAAGGTCAGTAGGGTGCCCCATGAGATGCCCCTGGTACCTTTTTCATAGGCTTTTTTGAGTTTGGGCAAGGATACAGGGGCCCCATGATCCCCTATTGCCCAGGGGCCCCATGAGTTGTCAGTCCACCCCTGAATCAACCCCATATCTTTCGTAAATCCAAAGTACAAAGCTTGTACAATCTGATTGTATAGTGTATGACTTTGTGAATTGAGCCTTGTGTTTATGTTATTGGTATTAGTATTGGCGTTACTATGTTTTATGAATTAATATGTTTTCTATTGACCTACTTCTATGCATATGTTCCACTGTAAAGTCTCATCACCTGTACGTGTTAATGTTTCCAGTGTCCCCTTCCCTGATTAAATCTAGATCTCTCTTTACCCTGAAGGTGAAGCTGTACATCTAGCCCGAGATTTTGGGTATGTCTGTGAAACAGAATTTCCTGCCAAAGCTGTAGCTGAGTATGTCAACCCGGCAACACTCTGATCCAAACGAGCAAGTGACCAGAAAAAAACATGCTACTAGCCACAAAGTAGGTCTGATTTTATTCTTTCACTGATGTTACTATGTGCTGGGCTGTTAGGAGCATTAAAGCTAAAGAACTTGGAATATTTAATGTGGGTACCTACAGTGCAATGACCTTGTGTAAAGGTCACCATATATGTTAGAATATGACCAGAGAAGCTCTGTATAATCAACTTCAGATCTACCAAAACTTGTTATATGAGGATTTACCTGAGCTATCCAATCAATTTGTATCCAAACAGGCAAGCCCTTTCATTACATACTTACTGGTCACCATACATGTTATAATCTGACCATAGAATTTCTGTGCAATCAACTTTAGATCTACCAAAACTATTTAATCTGAGTACCTACCTAAGGCAAGCCATAGATGAATTGATTTTCTTTCCTTCCACCCCGGAGCTCCATACAGCCAACCTGACAGGACCCCCTTAAAAAAAAAAAAAAAACAGTTTACTATGCTTCAGTTATGAATGAACACATCGAGTGATCACTACTGATCACTCATTGTGTTCATTCAGGAAAGGAAAGGGCTGGTTAATGTGACATATTTATCAGACCCTTCCCCTACTCTCCATCCTGAAGGATCCTATTGTTTGCTTGCAGCTGCCGGTGAGAAGGAGAGGAGGGAAGCCGGCACTGTGGGGGCCCAGGCAGCTGGGTGAATCAGATGTGCACAGGGAGGGTGATCGGCATGGTGGGCAGGGGGGGGACAATTACTGGGACCAATCCCCTGTATGGCTCTCTTTGCAGCAGCTGAGAATCAGCAGAAGAAAGAGAAGAATCCAGCTTTCAGATGCTGCAGAGAGAGCCATACAGGGGATCAGTTCCAGTAATTTCCCCCCCCTCCACTGTGCCGATCACGCTTCCTGCCCACATCTGATTCACCCAGCTTCCTAGGTCCCCCTGCTGGGCTGGGCCCCATATAGGAGTACTGGTGGTATCCCTTTATCCATGGCCCTGGATGGGGGAATGCCTCCCACAACCAGGGCCAGAACAAGGGGTGGGCAGCTGCAAAGGGTGCAAAGCAAGGGGAAAGAGAATAAATGTAGGGCGGCACACTCATTCTACGGCAGTGGAGGAGGGGGGCACAATTCTGGATCCTTGCCCTGAGCACTGGATGACCCTGCCTTGGTACTGCCTGCTGCACTATTGTAATCTGCCAGCAGTGGTGGGGGGAGGGAGGCACATGGAGCGTTCCTGGCCAGGAGAACACAATGATTACTCCTAGCAGCTATAGCCCCAGGCAGTAATTGCATGCTAAAAATCCAACAGACTGGTTGTACCCAAGTCGACCGATGGTGGATCGATTTGGGTACAAACAGCCTGCCCATAGATGGATCGAATCTCAGCCAAACCCTGCTGCAACAGCTGAGATTTGATCCATCTATGGCCAGCTTAAGGTATCCAATCAATTTATAACCAATTAGGCAGGCCTTTTGCACTAATACTGCTTGGTAGATCTAAAGGAAATTGTACAATCAGATTGTTATGTGTGTGGCCAGCTTAAAGCAGATTGTACAATGAGATTGTAATGTGGGTGGTCAGCTTCAGATGAAGGAACCCATAGTTATGAACTTATATTATATCTCTATACTAACCTGAGCACCATTAGCAGGAGCCTGATTTGTGTTACGGGTTTTTGCAGATCGTATATAGCCATTTTAACATGACTTATCAGATAAGGCCTTATACTGTATGTCTATCCTATGTGGAGCAGAGCTGCTTGGACTTGTAGTTCAGTAACAACTGAAATGGACAGCCCCAGGCTGTCATCTGTTGCCCAGAACACTCAGCAAGGTCTTTTGCCTGCAAGCATTAGCAACAGCTGGAGTGCCGAAGTTTGCCCACCCTTGTCCTAAACTGAAAACAATTTAATGAACATTTTCAGGATCTCGAGTTAATCATTTGCAAGAAGTAAATTGCTTCCAACATGAAAAGGATTAAGAACCTCGGCGAAATACTTATCTAATTACCCAGAAATGTAATGCTTTATCAAAGTATATCTAGATATTGGTGTCCCAGCTGCAAATTACCCCGTTGTACATGGATAACTTATAATATATATTCAGTGCTAGAGATCCAATACATTCATTTCAAGGGGATGATGATGTGGCTTGTGCTGTGATTGGTCTGTGTTGGGATTATTGTAAAAAATTACCTTGCCAATAGAACCTGTGAAAATGGGATTCAGCTAATTGAAGTGCACTGTATTGCTTTTTGGGTGGTTTATAAAACATGAGACAATCAGTTTGGGCCCATGTAGGCCTGAGAATAACTGAAGATGGCCACCAGGGGCGGACTGACAATTTATGGGGCCCCCAGGCAATAGGGGATCATGGGGCCCCTGTGTCCTTCCCAAACTCAAAAAAGCCTATGAAAAAGGTATCAGGGGCATCTCATGGGGCTCCCAACTGACCCCGGGTCCTCGGGCAGTGCCCGAGTTTCCAAATGGTCAGTCCGCCCCTGATGGCCACATATCTTGCAGCCTTCCCGTACAATCTCCTCTAAGCTGACCATACACTATGCCATCTGATTGTACAATCTGCTTCAAATCTCTCATCAGCATTGAGAAATGTGATATTAATGAAGTGGATTGCTGAGGTTTGTCCTCAAATTACATAGTTTTGGAGATTGTAGAGAGATTATACAATCAGATTGAATCGTGTATGGTCATCTTTGGATTTAGCAGCAACTATGTAGCGTGAGAAGCTTCCTATACAATACAGTCATTAGGTAGGGGTCCATACTACAGGTGATTGTCTTGTACAATCAGATTGTACTGTGTGTGGCCAGCACAGGATCTGATTGATAGCTATGTCCAATAAGGCTGTTGCTTCGGTTTCATCCAAGCCATCTTTCTATCAGTATTGCTGATCTGTGTTTCTCTAGCTGCCCTGATTGACGGGACATGGCTGGGATTTGTAGTTGCAGAGCAGCTAAAGTGCCACAGGACTTGAACATCTGCTTTATATTAACAAGCTATTTCCTAGCCAGAGACTTCTCCCTAGCCAGGAATGGAAGCAACCAGCGGAATACTTTTTACATATGCTCTGCATTTTGTTCTCACTATTTTTGCCACAAGAACTATTAGCTTAAGTCCCGAAAGTCCTTATCCATGTCAATAGGTTAGTTATTCTCCCAGAGGCTTTTCAAGCAGACTATGAGGAACGCAGCAGTCCTCTTTATGGGGCTTGTAGAGTTTATACAACTGGAGGGGATCAGATGTGTAGACTGTAATGTAAATTGCCATACACGTGACCATTCTGGTCAGTTCTGAACCTTGTATGAATCTATCTGAAAGAAAAAAACTGCATGAGTTCCCCAAAGCAACCGATTAAATTCTGTCTTTCATTCTCTAACCTGCACTGTAGGAAAAAGAGGATTGATGTCATAACTAACATAAGCAGTTCTCTTTTAGGCTGCATTTGGTCGCTCTGAAAACGCAGGCAGAATCACACATTTCTACCAGCATTTTCAGAAATGTGTGACATTCTTGCGGTGCCATTATTTCCTCATTTCTTTCTGCGATTTTGCTGCATATGTCATGCGATAAAATGCTTGACATTTATTATTTATTTATTACAGGTACTTATATAGCACTGTCAATTTACGCAGCACTTTACATATATATTGTACATTCACATCAGTCCCTAACCCTCCAGGGGCGTACAATCTAAGGTTCCTAGCTCACATTCATACATACACATTCTAGGGCCAATTTACCTACCAGAATGTATTTGGAGTGTAGGAGGAAACCCACACAGGCACAGGGAGAACATGCAAACTCCAGGCAGGAGGTGCCGTGGCTGGTATTTGAACCAATGACCCTAGTACTGCCAGGTGGAAGTGCTAACCATTTAGCCACACATTTGTGGCAAAATGCACGCTGCCAAACACGACTGTCTCACTGACAAAATTTGGCACATAAGCTTCTTTAGTATGTTTCTCCTGCATAGGGCAGCCCATTTACTTGAATGTGTGACACAGAAATTCGAAAGAGATGCAAGTGGGAACACATGTTCATTAACATACTATGAACCAACCAGGCCTGGAAATCTTTAACTCTTTGTTAAGACAGAAAATCCTGCGCATCTAGTTTTAGTGATAATGAAATCTTCCAGCACAGTACAGACAGGGTTATATATGACAAACACAGGTCCCCAGCCCCCTCATAAACAGGGAGCACTAATCAGGAGATTCTAGAAAAAAGCATTTAAAAAATGTTTTGCTATCTTTTTTAAAATATTTTTAAGCTTATGCTATGTGAATGGGGACATTTAGCCAATACAAAGTAGGTGTTAGGTCAATTTGGCTGCAAAAGTGGAAATACACTTTAAACCTATACAGTTTGCGTTTGAGGCGTTTCTGCAGTGCTTTTTAGCAGTGCATTTTGCATTTTTTGCACGTGTTTTTTAATGTGTTTTGCAGGGTTTTTTACAACGTGTTGCTGGGCAGAATAAAATGCAAAACGCATCAAAACATGTCAAAAGCGCACTACATGCATTTCTACAGCATATCCATTGAAGTCTATAGAACCAAAAACACAATGTTCTGTGTTTAAAAAAAGTCCCTGACCCTTTCCAATAAACGCATCGGGTGAAAACGCAGCGATGTGAACCTGTTCCATAGGAAATCATGTTAAATGGACTGCTGTGCATTTCAGCACAACGCAGCAGAAAATGCATAGGTGTGAACCTAGACTAAGTCCAGGTTCACACTGATGCGGTGCGGAATTCACACCGGTTTCAGTGCGCATTCCGTACCGCATCACATACACACCCCGTTCAGGCGAGCCTCTGCGGGTGTGTAAGTTAAGTTAACAACACCCTGAAATCGGTTTGCAAAACACAGTGCAATGTGCAGAATCGGATAGCAGGGGTGTGAATACCCATGCAATTCGATTCTAATGCGGACCAAAAAAAAATTCCTGCACCTTTTTGATAACTCAAATCGCACCGCACAGAATTCACATGTGATTGACAAAGGAACAGTGGTGCGGTTCCTGTGCGAATCACATGCGATATGCCTCACTAGAAATGTGAACCTAGACTAAGAGTTCATTCATATCAGATGGGATGGGACGGCATTGGACAGCAATCCCAGCACAGTTCCACCACATGACAAGGCAAGCTGCCCTATTTCTGGTGTACCTGGTTCACATCACTGCCTTGCAGTGGTGTGTGATCAAAAAATGTTCTGCATGCAGTACTTTTTTCCAGCACAGCTCAGTATAAGGCAGTCCATCACCTCACACCATGCAGCTGCCAAGTGGAAGGCAAGTCAAACCCTCAGCTTAAATATGCTCCTGCCCCAGGGGTGGACTGACAACTCATGGGGCCCCCGGGCAACAGGGGATCATGGGGTCCCTGTGTCCTTGCCCAAACTCAAAAAAAGCCTATGAAAAAGGTACCAGCGGCATCTCATGGGGCCCCCTACTGACCCCGGGCCCTCGGTCAGTGCCCAATTTTCCAAATGGTCAGTCCGCCCCTGTCCTGCCCCCATTCTAAACCTATCCTATCTACCTTGTAAAAGGAAAGATGCCTATACTTTCTGTATACTTACCTATTCTGAAGTCGCTTGAGTCCAGTCACATGATCTCTCCAGAATCAGTGTAGGAAAAAAGAAAGATCTGTATACTTACCTATTCTGAAGTCGCTCTGGTCCAGTCACATGATCAACTGTCAGCGGCAGCTTGAATGTAGAGGAGAGATTGCCGACAACGGCTGCAGAGCCTGGGCGGTAACATCACCCATAGGCTTCCTATTGGGCATGTGTTGTCAGCTGTCCTTCCTCTACACTGAAGCTGCCGCTGACAGCTGATCATGTGACTGGACCAGAGCAACTTCAGAATAGTAAGTATACCGATCTTTCCTTTTATAGTGGAGATAGAATAGGCTTACAATAGGGGTGGGGTAGATTTAAAGTGATATTGAAGGCTGATTTTTTTTTCTTTTTAATAACAAGCATGTCATACTTACCTGCTCTGTGCAGTGCTTTTGTACAGAGCAGCCCCAATCCTCCTCTTATCAGGTCCCGCGCTGGTGCTCCTGGCCTCTTCCTCCTGCTGAGAGCCCCCAGAGCAAGCAGTTTGCTATGGGGGGACCCCAGCAGGTTTGCTCCTGAGCTGCTGCTCTGTCTGTCCATTTAGACACAGACTGTGGTTTTGCCTGTCCCCCACTCTCTCCTCATTGGCTCACTGGCTGTGATTGACAGTGGTGGGAGCCAATGGTCCTGCTGCTGTGTTAGCCAATGGGGAGGGAGAGACTCAGAGATCTGAGGCTTTCATGCACATTGCTGGATTGTGATGGGACTCGGGAATGTTTTAGAGGGGGCTGCTTTAGATAGAAGGTTTTGTACCTTCATGCATAAAATGCATGAAGGTAAAAAACCTTGAGCCTTTGCAAGCACTTTTAAGCTTAGGGTTTGACTTGCCTTCCACTTTAATGAAACCTCTCTGTGACATTTTAATAAAGTTCATTAAAAAAAAAAAACAACAGTGAACAGCTGGATGCGCTGAGATCAGCACTATGGCACTGCAGCTATCCCAGCAGACCACACTGCACCGCACACCAGCTGCTGGTGTGAATAAGCCTCAAGGAATCATTTGCACATGCGGCTATTAGTGCCACCCCTCTGAAAAGTGATCTGTGGTGAATTGCTTTTCAGGAAGCATTTGACAGGTGATAGAGAAGGTGATATATTGCCTCCTCACCATCTGTTTTAACCCTCAAAATGCCGACTCACAGCACAACACTCACATGCATGCAGTGCCACAATCACATACATTGCATGTGGTTGCAGGGCAGTAGTGGCATGGCCCTATTCACCTGAATATTATATTATTATTATTATACAGGATTTATATATCATTATTATACAGGATTTATATAGCACCAACAGTTTCAGCAGCGCTTTACAAAATGAAGGCAGACATTATGATTACAATACAATTTGGTACAAGAGGAAACAGAGGGCCCTGCTCCTCAGAGCTTACAATCTAAGAGGAATTTGCTTGCTGAATGTGACATGCCATTTAATTTTTTTTCTACAAAGCAAAACTTTGTGCCCATGCCCAGGGTGGACTGACAACTCATGGGGCCCATGGGCAATAGGGAATCATGGGGCCCCTGTGTCCTTGCCCACACTCAAACCACTCCACAAAAAGCCTAAGAAAGTACCAGGGGCATCTCATGGGGCCCCCTTCTGACCCCGGGCCCTGGGGCAGTGCCCGAGTTCCCAAATGGTCAGTCCGCCCCTGCCCATGGCATATGTACAGACCTGAGGGCTTGCATTTCTGCATTTGCGTGGGCAGTTGGGGGGCAGTATGGCTCAACTGCCTGCTGTTACTGCCCCTTGGCCCCTGTGAGACTGAGTCCTAAACCAATGAAGTGCTAGCATTTACCCAGTGTTGTCAGAACAAGTGAAAGAAGCCTTCTGATTGGTGTCTTTGAGTTATTGCCTTTTCTATAATGCTCTTTGATTCATTGGCTATGGAATTGTGACTTGTAGCTACCTCTAAGGAATATGTCAGCTAATCTTTCTTTTCTTTTTTGGTCTGCAGGCAGATTTGTAAAGAATTCACAGATTTATTGTCACAAGACAGATCCCCCTTGGGTAATTCTAGGCCAAGTCCAATACTAGAGCCGGGAATCCAAAGCTGTCTGACACACTTCAACCTCATCTCTCATGGATTTGGCAGCCCAGCTGTGTGTGCGGCCATCACAGCCCTGCAGAATTATCTCACCGAGGCTCTAAAAGCAATGGACAAAATGTACCTCAACAACAACAACCCCAACAGCCACACAGACAGCAGCAAAAGGAGACAAAGATGAAAAGCATAGAAAGTGACCCCCTCTTCTGCCAGTCCTACCTATACCTGCTCAGCACCGCCCTCTAGTGTTGGCCAGGTGCCCGCTGGGGCACAGACAATTCGGTGCCATCCCTCCTCCGCGGAGTTACAAGGCTGCACTGCCTCCTTGTCCATCCTTCTCTGACGCCGAATCCATTTTTTTTTGGATTATGACCAGGACAGGCTGATGATGATGATGCCAGGAAAGAAAGTTGTGTCGTTAGTGTTCAGACTTTTTCTAAGATTTTTTTTTTTTTTTTTTTTTAAAGCAACAAGTTCTTACTATCTATCTATGAGAGTCATCGGACTAAAGTCACCAAGTTCAGGTTGTAGCCAAGGCTGAGGATGACATTTATCAGTATTGTGAATAAACTTGAACACAAAAAATTTGCAGTTCCATGTCATGTCTTCAAGTTGCCCCCCATTATCCCTCTAAAAAGGTAAATGAAAGTACCCTGAACTTTTTTTTTTTTGTCTGGACAGAGATCACAGTCACTATTATAAGGGAATCAGTGTTTATGTATATATTTATTTATGTGTAATTTAATGGGGATTGTAAATATGGTGCGTCTGTTAAAAGATAAAAAAGCCTTTTTTTATTTATCTGGTGATCTCGTTTACCTATTGTTTAGTGGGTTTTAATTTTCAATTTCCCTTTAGTTCATGTGGCTATTGGTACTTGTTTAAAAAAAAAGACAGGACTTTGGGTTTGTAGGGGGAATTCCTCATTTTCTAGCCCTGTTGTAGCATGTTAAAACAACAATGAAGCAGCAGAACAAATAATAAAAAAAAATAATAAAATTGATTTTTATATATGTTTAGTATTACAAAAAAGTCTTTCATTTTCTGGAAGAAAAAAAAAATCAATTTTGGACACTGGCTAATGAGAATGGGTACGAAAAATTCCTTATTTGTTGTAAGCTTAAAGGAAAGTCCTTCACTCAATCGGTTCAGCAATACTACATGGGAGCGATTTACTAACATTTGCCAGATTAGCATTCCATTCGTCCAAATCATCCATAGAGAATGACCTCCTTTTAATCTTTTCGCTTTAAGTTGGATGTTCCAACACAGGTTACTGGCCTGGTAAAACCTTAATAAATCGTCCCCTTGGGTTGTTTTTAATAAAAAGGATTCACGTGTTCTGAAACCACGAGTATTTTAGCGGCTGATTTACCAAAGGTGTGCTGTTCCTAGCGATTGCGAATCAGTAAATCCTTAGTAAATCAACCCCATTACTGTCTATGGTGGGAGCACAAATGACTGTATTGTGCTGAGTTATATGAGATGAGGCTGACCAAGCTTACCAATGTATTATAGTCTTTTGTTGACCAGGTGAATAAATATTTGATACGCTTTATGTCGATTTTTTTTTATTCAGTGCTGTCTTTACCCAGGCGTATTTTTGTCCTTGGCAGTATTTTTTATTCAGTATGGTTACAGTAATTGAGTTTAACTCTCCCTTGACAATTGCTCCTCGCAATAAGCAGCTGAACCCTGTGTTTCCCTCAAGTATAATAAAAACTTACTTTCAACTCGGAGTTCAGTGCAGGGGAATCATTCTGATATTTCAAGATATATATATATATATATATATATATATATATATATACATATATCAGTTTCCTAGAGTGATAATGAAACGGTAAAAAATAAAAATGAAAAGAAGTTATAGTATAGCAAAAAGAAAAAAACAAACAAAACAAAGGAAAACCAACCCAAAATAACAACAGTATAAGCATCAGCAAAAACGTAAAATTTAAGAAAATAACTCAGGTATTAGAAAATAATAAAAACGTACTTTAAGAGCAGAGGAATCATTCTTATATTTCAAGTGTCTGTCTGTCTATCTATCTATCTATCTATCTATCTATCTATCTATCTATCTATATCTATCTGTATAACTCTTTACATATATCTATCTATCTATCTATCTATCTATCGATTATCGATTGATCGATCGATCTATCCTCCTATATATATTAGTATATGATAGAGTAGTGAAATGCTTAAAATGCAATAAAAGTAGAAAAAAAAAAAAAAACAAAACAACCCTTCCCCCCCCGAAAAACAACCCCTAAAAAAAATAAACATAGAATAAATAGCAGCAAAAACCTAAATCTATCTATCTATCTATCTATCTATCTATCTATCTATCTATCTATCTATCTATCTATCTATCTTGGTATATGAGAGAGGGACAGAGTAGATAAATGTTTAAAATGCAATAAAAGTAGGATAAGAGAACAAAATAAACAAAAAAAACCCAAACAAACAATAAACAGCAGCAAAAAAAAACTACAAATGTCCCTCAAGTATAATACAAACTTGTTTTCAGCTCCGAGTTCAGTGCAGGAGACTCGTTGTAATATTTCAAACATATTTCTATTTATCTATATATTAAAATGCAATTAAAATACAATAAAAGTAAATGATAATAATAGCAAAAAACAAAACAAAACAAAAAAACAAAACAAAAAAAACAGAATAATAAAAAAT